TTATTCCCCCCTATCAGATGGTTAGGAATGGGTTCTTTCGGTAATGCCAATTACTTATCAGTCCGGCCTCGTTTTAGATATTAAGAACCCATTTTCAATCAACTATATTTTTATCCCTAGGCGCCAAGTCCTATTAAATAAATGCGAGCTTAGTTCGTCTTTAATAGCTTTCTCCCACAACATCTTAGCACTTCTATATTTAACTAGCAGACCCGCGCGCTTCGCTACCTACTAAATGCATTTAATGGTTAGGAATTCATTGAAATAAAACAATGATAATCAAAAGCACCAAATATACTTACACAAATTACAATTTTTTCAGAAAACAATTTTAGACCAAATTTTAGATTTTTTTTTAATTTTCGAGGAACCTATTTGTAGAAAAGTAAAAACTTTTGTATGGAAACAATGCCACATACTCTGGTTACCAAACAGCATGCAATTTGGTGCACGCATTGCGGAGATAGCCGCTTACACACAGATTTTTTTCTAGAAATTTATAGTATAGATTTCATCACATGTTGTGGGAATTGAACCTACTGAAGATTGTGCATTCATAACACAATTATTGTAGTATTAGTATTTGTAATATTGCATGGTGGCACAGAGGTGTCGGAGGATGGCTCCAGACCACAGAGCCCTGTACCGTAGGGTGAGTTCTTTGTGCATCTAAAATTTAGATTTAGATTCTAAATCTACCGGTCAGAGCAGCAGCTCCCTTTTGGTCCCTGCAGTCTAGTAATCGGTCTGAAAGCTCCGCGTCAGTAGGAAAACCGATTAGGACTGACCACGAACCTAAGGTCAGAACTTTAGATGCCATTATACTGGATGACTCCGAATCCGATGATGATGACGGAGATGGCTGCGGACAGAAACGAAAGAAACGGAGCTGCTCGAAGCGCAAGCCTAAGCGCTCTTGTGGAAATCGCAAGCGTAAGAAGTCGTCCTCTGCAAAACGAAGACGCAGGAAGTCTGCTTGCTCAAAGCGCAGGGGCAAGAAGTCTCGCCGCAAGTCAAGCAAAAGCTGCGCAAAGCCACGTCCCAAATCCCGCTGTTCCTCGAAGCGCAAGAATATCTAAGAAGCCGATGCGACCAACTTACAAAAAGAAACGAAAACACCACTGTAACTGCACACAATGGGGCGGGAACCCCAAGCACTACCAACTGGCCTAGTGCCTAAAGGCGAGCGCGAGGTGCATTCCGCGATTATCAACTGTTGACGCTGCCCAGCCCAAACCAAAATATTTTGGAGTTTGAAAGGCCCCCTGCCTACAAACATCTGACCAATAAATATTAACAAAGTTCCGAGCATATTTTTTGGAGTCGTCCGCTCTTGTTTCTGGTTTAATGTTTTCCAATAGGTGGAATAGTTAAAGATCCATGAAAAAATCATGAAGACACAAGGTAAAATATGGGGCTCTATCTTTTGAATGTTATAGATCCTCGTATGTACATATGTCGTGAATATATATCCAAAAGATCCATTCCGTTCGGGAAAAACACATAAAGCACTTGCTAGAGCTGGTCGTGTTTATCGCTCGCTCCACAATTTGCCCTAATCGAATACAATCTATCCTAATTATATTTGTCTCTCATACTCATAAAAAACTTTTGAATAGTGAGGGATTTTACAAACTCTAAATGATTTATCCTTTTAATTAACGTAAACAAATCGACGCCAATCAAATATGCAAGGAGAGGTTTTGCATAACTTTGTTTATGTTCGAACATTTTTATTGCTAGGATTGCTCGTATTTTCTCGTGCCTGGTACATCATCCAATGTCAGAACGCACGAATTCTTTTCAGAAAATGGTTTCAAATGAATACTTGTAGTTCCATTTTTGATTTCGACGCTATCGCCTTAACTCTTTCAACTGCAATCATCGTGCAAAGAACGGTCCGTCCTTCATTTGCTGGTGGTTGTCCCTTCGCTTTCAACGACTGCCTTAGGTTATCCGAGATCTCTTTTGGAAGGCCAATAACACCCACTTGATCGGTAGCTATTTAGTAAATCCGAAGTTTTTGAAACTCTCATTTCAATAGCTTAAACCAGTGATAGGCACGAAATCTGACGGAAAGAGACAGGAAGAAAAAACAAAAAAAACAACCCCCTGTCGCGACGTGTCGCAGTCATGAGCCAGAAAGAATGGGCGAGCAAAGTGAATACACTTTGTTGTTGCTCTGATTTTCATGTGCGTAGCCCAAGACTCATGATGTATTGTTGCAATCTCGAGATCGCGCCTTCGAAGCATTTTTTCCCTCTCTTTGACGCCAAATTTCTGTGGCATTGTTTTTGTAAAAATTCACGGATCGCTGAACGCGAGCGACGACCGTCTGAGCCGACTTGCTGGCACCTCCCGAAAAACATTTTGGAAAGAGCCGCGGGAGCTGAAAGAGCCACGGCGTGCCCATCTCTGGCTTAAACTCTCGCAGGTCGAACCTGCAATCATTACCGAATATGGACGCAACAGTCCTTAAATTAAATTATTAAATCCTTGACGTAAAATCCAACGTAAATAAATATACAAACTAAAGGCGCGATTTGAAAGAATACGTATATACATATGAACATATGAGCATTTTAATGGGAAAGTCCACAGAAACTAAAAATTAAAAGTCAATAAAAAAAAACACATTTCCTTATAAATCCGTCCTGATATTATTATCCAAATTGATAAAAAGTTAATTTAAGTTAACTTTCATGAACTTTGAGGACAAAACCTTTAAAATCACCTAAAGTTAATTTTTCGATATTTTTCTTTACCTGTTAATGTTACTTCTGAAGTACCATAGGGAAGCCATCTGGGCCCCTTGCTTTTTAAACTCAGGCATTAAGAAACTGAAGAGTACTCATGTACTCCATAAGTTTCAGTCACAAAACCATGACTGAAATATATAACACCTTAATGCCTCGAAATGCAAATTAATGACGTTTCGTTTCAGCCGCTTGTGAGGTCCTCTGCAGTGGTTCTATTGAGAGAATTACCCTGGTTGATGATAAGGATGATGACCCCAAGTTAAAGTTTTTTGAGAACATTTCTAGCATGGTAGCATGGTCAAAGTAGTTTAATGACGCCTATATAACGAAAAATCTCTTTACATACTCGTATCTGGAGTATTTTAAAACAAAGCTCTTGTGTACCTTGTGTACCTCTGCCATATTTCCTTTCCTCTTCTTCAATTACTAACACTAACATACCTCTCCTGTAATACGTGGTAGTATTTGTATTTTCGAATACATGCTTAGCTGCTTTAGTTGTGCTTAGTTCTAATTTGCCTTGAAAGTAAGAACCAGTTAGGAGATACGCATCATGGGGCAGTGCCCCTCAATGTCAATGGTCGGTCCGTAAGCTTTGGGAGAAAGAAAAACTTCATCCATACTTATGCGTAAATAATACATGTTTGCTTTATTAAATTTCATTCCATTAAAATGTTAGCACATAGTGTGTCTGTATGTATGTGTATATTGTGGGTGAAGGGTTGGGGAGGTGGTGCCAGACGTTTCTGTTTTTGTTTGATTCTATGTTTTTTTCTCTGATAGTTCTGTTCTGTTCTGTTTCCTCTAAATCAGAGCTCAGATAATTTTAACTACAAATTTATCTTAAAGAACAGAGCATTTCTTAAAAAAGGCAACAGTTCCAGATGTATTGTAAGGCATTTTCTTCAATTTTCAGGGACCCTCAAGCCAATCGAGCTTTTAGTCTGGTTCCATTACGCATCATTCAAGCGCGTTTTGCGACTAAATCGGAATAATATTAGGGGAGTTATTCTGGTATCCTTTTCAAACAAACAACAATCAAACTACACACTTGTACATTCCCAAGCTAAGAAACGTAAAACAATATACAGTTATTTATAATGAATATATGCCGTGAAGTTCTGCAGTTGATCTTAATTATATTTGCTTTTCCCTTTCGGTTTTTACTCTGCTCACGCATCGCTTTTGATATGTTAATTAACTACACAGCCCCACCTCTGACCTGTGATTTCTGACCTCGCCTTGACCATCCCTGCTTCCAACTATACCCTGCTGCCTTCGTCTTTGCCTACAAAATTTATATTTCTGGTGGCATACTTTGTGTCTGTCTCTGTGTGTGCGTAAGCTCGTAACTGTGATAAGTTTGTTGGATGCATTTATATGGATTTCTAATTTTTCCCAAAACAAACTTACATATTTTGTTTGTTTTTTATACATTTTCGTTTTAGTTTTGTATGCGGATTCTCTGGTTTTGTTTGCATTTCTCTTGTTTCTTCTCTCCACGGTGTGTTGTTCGCTTCAGACCGACAAATACATAATGTTTCGTAAAGGGAAACTCCAAAAATTGGAACTCTGATTAAAAATGTTCTGAAACGAAGTTTGCAGAGAATATTCTAAAATGGTTTTACTGTGGTTTGGTTGGTTGTACCTCAATCGAGTCAGAGTTTCATTATGGAATATTTGAGCATACATATATCAAGTTAAAAGTTCGATCAGTTACGAAAGGTACTGAAAGAAGGAGAGGGAGCAGCACGACCAGGGAGGGGAGCCGTATCGTTGCTCAACTCCTTTTTGTCGATGGTATCGGTGGCCTCTTGGTGCAGTCCATACAGGAACTATTTTACCAAAACTAAAGCCAGAACCTCAAAACCGAGTCTGCCAAAATCGGTCTCGTTATTTCTCGCTTAGCAGAAGTGCTTAAATTCTTGGAATAATTTACGCATGTACGAGTATGTAAATATGTAAATGTGCTCACCGTGGTTTGTCTATCTGAAGCAAAATCTTTATGTAGGTATAATATTTAATTGCCTTTCCTTGCAGTGATATGTTTTCAGTGTTGACTCGTTCGACTTGCTATTGACCTCTTAAAGTTATCTTTGCTCTGGATAATTAAATATGTACTCGTATGTTTTAAAATCTGTGCAGAGAAATGTCGTGTAACGACATTTTTAAGGCAAATTTTATTTTTTGTTCAATTTTGAAACCTATTTGGATGATTTGTGCGCAGGGGGGGGGATATGGATGTGTGTGTGTGTGTGTGTAAGTGTAAGTGTATGTGTGTGTGTGTGCGTGAATGTTGTGCGTATGGAAAGGCGGTTGTTCGATCAAATTTCACATTTTAGGTTCTTCTACAATTCACCCAACACAAAGTTCCTTTCAATGCTTTCTAAAAAAAAAATAAAATATTGTTATAAATTGATTATAAAACTATTTTGGATATCACTTTTTGATTTCTAACAGCTCTTTGTGTGTTTGTGTGTGTGTGTATATGTGTGTGTCTACAGAACCTTGTGATAGTTGCTATTTATACAAAAAAAAAATTCTTTGCTCACATTTAGTTACATATTTTTTTTTTTGTTGATTTTTTAGTTTCATTTTTTACTTTCCTATAACATTTAGGGTTACGATACATTTTTTCATATATCCACCACCACAAAAAAAATTCTCTCGACAATTATCTCTAAATCCTTTGATTCTCTGGTTCTCCTCTTACAGACACATGTACAAGAATATGTGAGTATGTATGTATTTTGTTGACGTAGTACGTAGAACACAAAAATCATCCGAAAGCGGCGACTACAATATTATAGTTCTATGTATGTATGTATGTATATATACTCGTATGTTACGACCCATGGCTGAAAATAAGGCTGGACATGAGGACTGGACCCACGAAAAAGCTGTGGAATCGTAATCGACAACTATTTAATGATAATGATGTGTGTTTGCTGGATCGGCCCAAATCTGTGCCGTTCCTTCAATCTGCAATACATCGGTACATCGGACCAAATCCGTCTTGGGCAGATCTAAAATCAGTCACTGCTTTGAAAATGATTATTCTTTAATCGCCTTTTATGTGTTGTCTTCTGACTAATTTGGGGATCATTTGAAAGGCATCTCTCACTGAAAAGAACTTCAGTTGGCACGAAGCACTGAAAATAGTTGTTATTATCGGTATGCATCTGGATTTAGGTGGTTGAAAATAGTTTAAATCGTGTTTGAAACGTTAGAATATATTGAGGTCAGCGTTTCCCAATCGAGCTGACATCCCTCTCGTTTCCAGCCCAGTCTTCAGCCCTCCATTACATGTTCCTGCTCTCCCTCCTCTCCTCGCCCACCACGCCTCGGTGGTCTGGCTTTAAGCTCGCGGCTTAAGGCATCGGGAAATGATTCTGCTCAAAGTCTTTGTGTCGCTCCGCGAGCATCCTCTTGCTGACCATTGTCTCGAGTCTCCGATCCGTGATGGCTACAAAGGGCAGCCGGGACTGCTTGCGACTGTTGGCGGCGCCGACACCACTGGCTAGCACCGAGTTGCCGCCGATTCCATCGACGACCCGATGATAGACAAAGGAGTTGAGCGGCGATGCAGCAGCTCCCGCTCCTCCTTCAGTGCCTCCAGTGCCCTTGGCTCCTCCTCCTGTGCCATTTGAGGTGTCGTAGCGTGGCCAGCTATTGCTCTGGCCACGACCCGCCACATTGGCCACGAACTGTGCGCTTCGGCTGCGACTTCGCGGAGCGCCCAGGAAGCTGCCTGCTATGGCTGGATACGAGGGCAGTTTGAACAGGGCCGGCTTGGGAGTAGTCACAGAAGACGGCGGAGTGGGGGAAGGTGGAGGGTGAGCTGGCGGAGCGCCAGCGCCTGCCTTGTTGGCCATTTCCCTCTGCCAAAAGTCGACGGCTGCGGTCAGTCGCGGCTTCTGCTGATCTTCGTCAATGTCCACATAGCCATCCTCGTCAGGCAGATGATTGCTGGGAGCCTGGGCCAATGTGGCTGATGTTTCTCCTGTGACTGGTGTGGAGGCTGCCATCGTGGTTGTTTCTTGGGATTGTGTGGCGCTGAAGCCGTTGCGCTGCTCGGAAAACAAATCCTCGAAACGGTGCTGCTGATGGTAGCGTCGCCGTTTCTGCTTCAGATATTCATCGTCCAGTCTCACCGGTGACGTGACGGATCCACTCCAAATGGAGCTACGGATTGGGATCGATGGGACTGGTGGTGGTGGCAGGGTGCCCTCGAGCAGGTTCAGCAGCTGTTTGTTGCGGCGATTGTACTTCTTGATGTACGGCGGCAGGTTGGCCTCCTCGCCTTGCTCTTCCTGGGCCTCTTCCAGCTCGGCTGCAGTCTCGTAGTCGTCCTCGTAGTCGCCATACAGCTGCGAATGCTGCTGAGACTCGCGGTGCTCATCGTACAGCTGGAACTGGACCCGTGCTAGATGCGGCCACTTGGCGTAGTAGCGCTCGAGGTGCTCCAGCTCGGTGATCTGGTGTCCTAGCTGCTGTGTGGGTGGTGGCAGGGGTGGCAGCGGTGGCAGCGGTGGAGTGGGTAGCGAACTGCTCGGAGAACCTCCTGCCAGCGACGCTGCTGGCGCCTTGCGCTGGTACGGACTGCTCGGCCTCTGACGCAGTTGACCTGCTTTCTGGTGCGTGTTCTGATGGTGGTTGTGGTTTTTGTGGTGGTGGTGCTGATACTGATGCTGGTGGTGTTGATGATGTCCTTTATGACTTTGGTAGTGCTGGTGCTTCTGCTGTTGCTGATGCGGATGCGGATGCAGATGTTGCTCGCCCTGGCCACTTTTGACGCCGTTGCGGAGGACGGGACTTATGCGACGGTACCAGTTGTCATTGTCGTGGGCTATTAAGCGCTCCATCTCTGTGGTCTGCTGTTGCTCCAGGCCCTGCTCCATGCCCATGCCGAACTGGGGGTTGTCGTAGTAGTGCACGCGTCCCTCGTAGAAGGGTGTATCGGTGGACAGAGATGACCGGGGCCGCATACCCAGGGCGAATATGGGAGCTGAGTGGGCTCGCTCTCGCTCTCTCTCCCGCTCTCTCTCTCGCTCTTCTTCCTGGAGCAGCTTCTTGGCATGCCGGGGGGCGAGACTCGGTGGTGGAGCTGGTGGAGCTGGTGGCTGTGTTACTGTTCCTGGTAGTGACTGGTGATGCCGTTTTAGGAAATCCTTATATCGCTTTTTGTGGCTCTTGTGACCAGTCTTCTGACGGCTGCGCCGCAACGCCTTGAACCGCTCAAAAGCGGAGGAAGGTGTCGAAGATGGTGGCGTTATAGTTGTGCCCGGGACCGTCTCTGTGGATGGAGAAAAATAAGTTAGTCCCGGCATGCTGCAGATTTCTTTGGTTAAAGCCATGGAATAACCAGGCAGGCTCCGGTTTTTGCATTCATTTTGCTTTTTACGTTTTCAGCTAGAAGTTATACTTCTCATTTTAGGGCCCTCTGACATTCCCAAAATTAATGTTTATTTCCTCCTGTACTGTTAAGCGATTGTTGTTGCATTGTTGCAGTTCAGATTCGTTTTGTTGTACATATAAAGATAACGAAGGTAAGGTTGCCGTTTGAAAAGGGAACAATTTTGCGTTTTGCGAATGCGTGAGCCCCAAAATTTGCGTTTTCAAAAGAAACTCGTGAATTTTTTGCGAAATTGAAAACCGGAGCCTGCCTGTTTAAGTACCATTTTGAATGACTCAAACACAAAATAGATACTTGGTCAATTATTCTTTTATTTGCCAAAATGTGTCTCAAGTTAGTCCTGTCTATTTATTCCAAACAAGGATATTTAAAGCTTTGTTCTGCGGAGCCTGGGTTCTATTGTGGCTGTCCGTTGGTGGTCCAAGCCAGCTCAATGATAGCCCAGAAATCCCAGCCTGACCACACGAAATACCATCCCTCCGCTCTCTGGTATGACATGGACAAGGCTGCTTGCGATATGTGGCGGGGAAATGTAAAGGCAACCCACGTCTGCTGGAGGTTGTGGCTGTTTTCTGCTAGTCCAGGCACGTCTACTCCAGCCCCAGCAGTCCACTACGCCTATTCTATTCCCAAACTTAATTCTCCCCTCTCCATTCCGTGACCAACGGAAGGTATTTGCTTGGCCAATCCTCCAGAATGTTTCGCTCTTTCGGAATGCTGGCCTACATACATATATACGACTCAGAGTATACTCGTACAAGAAATTTGCCATTTTGCGAGCTTTATTGTTTAATGCCAAAAACTGGCAGCTTGCTTCTCTTAAAGATTCCCAGGGAGAGCTTTTGCAGTGGAGCAGGAGGGAGACTGTTACGTTTGATTTCCTTCTCTTTTTGGACGGAGAAAACGAAAATAATTTGCAAAAATTTCGCCAGAAAGTCTTTGCCTAAACTAATTAGGGGAGCATGGAACCCAAGCCACCCACTTTCCAGCTCCTGCTTTGCAGCCCTTCTCAAGCATTTAAAGTGCCTTTAAAGAAATTTTTCTCCCCTCTCTTGTGGGATTTTTTGGTGCGTTTTTTTTTTCATACAAATATTTTCAATTTAAGGAAAACACGAGCAACCGCAAAATTCAGCATAACGTACGTACCTACGTACACACAACCACACAACCCCACATACGACAATCTGACTCTGATGGGACTCCTGGGGAGGGGTATCCCCAGAGGTCCAGTTCTGGACTGAGAGCCTAGGCGCGAAAAGCACTAAAAGAACCCGATTCAAAGTTGGGCCAAACGTCGAGCAAGGAATGTGGAACAGTGGGCCAAGCCCGAAGGAACACTTGGAATTCTATAAATTACCGGCATATTGTCCTTAAATACAATCTGGTACTTGCCACTGATATTGCGAACACAACAGTGTACTGTGATATCACACTGAATGTACGAGTGTGTATGTACCTCCAAGGGTACCTTAAAAATGTTATTACATATTACATACGAATAATACGCAGTGGCCTTTCCTAGCGTATTTTAATTGTTTACCAGATACATGCATATGCATATGTACATATATGTATGCATATAGAAAACTGAGTGACGGGTATGTCGATGTCAAGGCCTGTACATTGTACACATGTCTCGATTCAAACGTTTCGACAGGCTTACATTTTGTTTTCTTCTCTTTTTGTGCATGTGGACAACATTTATTGACTTACTCTGAAACGGCTGCAATGCAGATTCCATATCAGACTCCGATTCGCTACTCTTCATCTGCCGACTTTCGAGCGTGTCCTGCTGCTGTGGTTCCAGTGGGGGGTGCTGCTCCGAGCTCTGATCGTCAGCGAAACGTGATTCGGGCTGCTGCTGCGTTCCATTTTCTGCCGAGCCAAAGGAGCTGCTCATGTAATTGGCCCGTGTTGGGACCTGACCCGGGCGCATCATCAGTCCCTTTTTTGCTGGTTGCTCCTGCTCCTGATGTCCGGCGTTTTCGAAGTAGTGCAGCTTCCCAACAGGGGCATCAAGGTCTTCGTCGTCATCAGCACTCTCCTTAACATTTTCCCTGGCATTGTCAGCCTCGTCGAACTTTTCAAAATATTTAGCCATGAGATCTGGCCTGTACATGCGCAAAAATCCACGCTTCTCTTTGCGGCCAATCATTGCTACTGTCGGCGACATTGTGGCTTCACAGCCCTTGCTGGTCTCCCTGCTGGCGCTTGGTGTTATTTTTGTGGCGGCTGTTGCTTCAGGTGTGGGCTTTCTAGATGATTCGTCACTGTCAATTGGAAACAGGATGTCTTCGGCCTCCATCACTTCATCCTTATCGAAACTGTCTTCAATGTCGCCGATTGCTTCCTTATCCTCCCTCACCAGCTTGACTATCTCCTTCTCCTGCTGTTGGTCGTTTTTCTTCTCTGGCTTATATTTTTCCTGCTCTTGATCCAGCTCCCGCTCCAATGATAATTGGCCTGATGGTTTATTTAATTTTCGTTCATTTAATATTTCAATAGAATCAAACTGCTGTTTCTCTCGGTCTGCCTTCTCCCCCATCTCACCACCTTGCCACTTGGCCCTGTCTGGACCTTGAGCCTGCTTCTGTTCTTCCTGCTGTTTGGTGTCGTGCTCCTCCTGTTGCTTCTCCGGCTGTTCATTTCGCTGCTTGTGCATTTTCTTAAATTTTGTATACCTTAAGCTTGTCCTGCCGAACTTTTCGTTGTGCTGGCTCGACTCTGGCTCTGTCTCTTTGGCTTCCTCCTCGGAGAAACTAAATTTTCCTACGCTTTCTGTCCCTGCCACGGCTTCCTTTGCCTTTTCTGCCCCCTCATTGGCCATTCTCTTCAGCTGCTGGCTTTCTTTATTGTTTCCCAATTTGTATATGTGGTGGCTTTTATTTTGCTTCTGCCTGGATAACTTCTTCTTGATGTCACTATTCTGGTACTTTTTAAATGTTTCCTTTGCGTCCAGCTGAGCAGTGAAATTTCTGGTAGTGGGCCTTTGAGATTCAAGTATCTGCAAGTATAAATAGTAATAAATACACATTAACATACAAATTTACGAGTAGTAGCCTCACGACGATTCCCGAGAAAATAAACTAATAGAGATGGAAACGGCCATATGTGCAGCTAAAGTAATAAAAGTATACTTAATTTTATTTTTTGCCACTAGATCTATACTTCTTTGTTGCTGTAATAATAGAATACTTCATTCTGATGTCTTATAATCTCCTTCTTATCTCTTTATATTTTAAATCTCCCCTGCATCATTTATTTGTTTGATATCTCATTTATTTTGTCTTCCCTTCTTTGAATCACAAATTCTAAGAGACAGTTTGTAGGCTTCTCTTTTTTCTTGCTTATTATAATAATAATTATAAGAATAATTATTCGTGCTAATCTTCATGTATAACAGTATAAACGAGAAGGAACGTGCGAGTCGCTTCTGGGGACGCGACTTTACTTATACCCGTACTCAGTCAGTATATATATTTTTCATTTTGATTTAATTTTTTCGAATTCTAGAATTATACAAAAATTTTACATATTACATTTTTTTGCTACATCTACATATACAATGTCTATTCTACATCTAACATGTAGATTATGGATATACCATTTATATTCTACATCTCCTCCGCTAGGGGTTGCTCGCGCACTGAACGCGGCAGAGTGTGCGAGCGAGAAAGAGATTGGTAGCGGGTCTCTGCAGGAGGGGGCGGAAGAACCAACAGAAAATGAATTTCTTCATTCTGGCTATAACTATGATCCGATCTAATTCAGATTTGGCAATCTGGTAGATATGGGCATTCTCTACGATACTGCGCTTTTAGTTTTAGCGTATCTTCAAAGTTGTGGCTGCCACAGATGTTCGTCCTTTGTGGGGGCGGAAGGGGGCGGGGCGAAATACACTTGTAGCAGTGTGATATCACATGAGTCTGGAAACAAAATTTGGTTCCTCTAGCTTTTATAGTCTCTGAGATCCAGGAGTTAAACAAGACGGACGGACGGACAGACGGACAGACAGACATGGCTATATCGACTCGGCTATTGATGCTGATCAAGAATATATATACTTTATGGGGTCGGAAACGTTTCCTTCTCTGCGTTACACACATCCACTTTTACCACAAATCTATTATACCCCTTAACTCTTTTTTGAGTACGGGTATAAAAAGTCTGTTTGATGTACATATTTACATCGACTTATTGGGCGTCTGACTTTTGTGACTTATAAACATTCGGGTGTCTGAAGTTCGCTTCCTCAGCGGGTGTGTCTGAGTCTCGGGCTCAAAAATGATTTGAACCGAATGGAGTGGCTTGGTCTCATTTTTACTCAAGTAAGTTTCAATGCAGAGATTCAGCGCTGGGGCCGTAAGCCCTGCTCCTCCTCGGCCCCTAGTTGGAATAGTAATTTGACTTGGCCGCTTCATTTTACGACATTTCAATGGACCACCACTGGTACAACAGAACTGACCTCATTCGCAGCGGACTTGGCTCGGGGCTCAGGCACCACTCTATGTGTACTTAAAAGTACGTTTGTGTGTACACATACACACATATATTTACACTGTGCATGGGTGTGTGTGTACTTACTATATCAGCTGCCTCGGATGCATCATTCTCTGCATCTTCGCCACCGCCACCGTCCCCATCCCCATCCCCATCCCATGGGGATGAACCATCCACATCGCTCCACGCAGCCCCGATCGCATCTTCAGCATCTCCGGCAGTTCCGACATCTGCGGCATCTGCGGCATCGTCATCATCATCATCATCATCATCATCATCGACCGCGGTTGCAACTGAGGCGGCTGGGGCATAATGCAGCTGGGAGTCGGTATCTTCAATGTCGCCATCGTGCTGGTCAAATATGTCCTCCGGAATGGAGGCCTCTTCTTGCAAATTGAAATCTGCAAAGGCATGAAAAATAAGGAAGAAGTGAGTGCGATATAGATAAAGCGATAGAAAGGGATAGAGAGAGAGCGAGAGCGAGAGCGAGAGATAGGGAGAGACAGAGATAGTGCCCCATTGGAATTTTTCTGTTGGGTTGCAAGAAAAGGTGCCTCCGTACACATGAATGCCCCGCAATAAAATAACATAGAATAGGTCAGAGAAGTGGGCATGGACTAGTGGGGACCCAGCTCAAGTACATTTTGAACAAAAAATGTGTGTGAGCTTGTGTGTGTGCTCTTTTTGCTTTAAATAAAGGTAAGCTGCTTGAATTGACTTCCACTTTGGGTCTCTTTTTATGCGAATATATTCGTATGTGATGGCGCACACATATGTACAGTGTACACACTTGAATACATACAGATGTACATACATAAATATAATCTAGAAGGTACAAATGTGAGCATGCATGCAGATACGATGCATGACCTCAGAAAAATAGATTTCACTCATACTCGTAGTTGAATAGACAAGATTTCCTTCCCCTTTCCCCTTCCTCTGCCCAACCACTTTACCGCACACACACACACGCCCAGGTATCTTTTATGCTCTGTCATTGACTGAATTACCATTGGGGTAGCTTAAGAAAAGGCGCGATGGAAAGGAGGAGGAGGAGGCGGCCGCATACGGGAGGGATGTTGACACACACACACACACACACAAGACCGGTATGAGCCAAGACCGCGGCCGTGCAGCATGATTTGGGACGACAAATATCAATCACTATACTCCTATATTTTTGTATACATATATATTTACATATGTACACACCACAGATGTATATGTACAGTGCCAAACTTATAAAGTAGTAGCACAACAATAAAATTTCAGCTTACTGCTGTCTTAAGAGCATTTGCAATCTGATTTTCTTTAAATATATGTACGTAATATTATCCGACAAACGAATATATTTTATATAAGATTGCCCAATTTTGAATTGCATTTTGTTTGTTATTAATGAGTTATGTTCTTGTAATTTGTTCAACTGGTCGCTACGTTTGGAAAAGCATTCGATCTAAGTCCTATTCATAGTTCTGTGCAACTGTCCAATTTTGTATCCCAAAGTACCTTTAATCGCTCAAACTAATCGGAGAAAGGAACCTCATAATTTCGCCCATTTAAGCATATACTTGGTTGGAAAATACACAAATATTTTTCCTATCTCTGAGCGATAAATTTTTCTTGTTGTGCCAGAAAATATAGATCCGTCTTTGGGCATTGAAAGGACCAAGATACATTTGATAATACATGAACAGTTGGCCGTCAGGAATAAATTATCTCGTGACATACAGCACAATTTGACATTTGCCCAAAATAAGGCTCTTGTCCAAATTATCGCCTATATTTACGCCTATATTTACTATATTGATTGAAGTTATGGAGAAGCGTCGTAACCCGTCGAAGAATAAGCCCTTGCTGTTCCAACCTTCAACCGCCTCGAAGAAGCAGACAAGGGAACTACACCATAAGCCATCGGCCCTCTCTTTTCTGTGCTCCTTCAACGTATTCGCAAGTAGAGGTTCTGGCTCCTAAGTAACATATTCCCAAGAACAAGTGGACCACTATTTGTTTAAAATATATTTCGAAATTTTTAGTACTACTAATTAAAATTGTTCTAACCGTGTATAATTTCTGTGGCTATTATAGAAGGGCGTTGTACAGTTGTAGCAATGGATAGACTCTTCAGACTTAAATATTTAATTTATGGGATCTCCACTTTATGTACTCGTAGATTCTGCCTCCACAAGCGAATGTCTATTCATGATCTAAGTATGTGTAGACCTCTGCTTCCAGTAATCAGGAGTCGGGGATGTATCAGAATCTATCTATGCATTTCAATAATTATAAAGCATAAGTAATGGATCCTTTCCACCGCCCATCGCCTCCACCGATTAGAGCTCATTGAGATTTTGGCCAACATGTCGTATACGCAATCTTGTTGAAGACTTAGTACGCCTCCGAATGGTGTTGTAATGTGACAGAGGGGTGGAGAAAAATAAGTAAATAGTAAATTATATTCAATTCAAATAGGTCTTTAGGTGAAGAGGGGATAAACGGAGTGCATGAATTAACATTAGAGCTTACTAGCGGTCGCGTTCGTGGTTCCTTTCTATCTCTCTATTTTTTTCCCCTCTCTTATGACAAGTAGAAGAATGTACTCGTGGTTTATCTGATTGCAATATTTAAATACGTATTGCTTAAACATTCTCTTTCTAAAAGCTTACTAAAAGAAAAACTAACTAAAAAAAACTTTGCATTTTCCTTCACAGTTTTCCCCTTTGGAATCGCTGGCCAAGAAAATAATGATGTTTGGATAAAGCTACACATTTCATTTGCCTTCGACCCAATGTCCAATGACGATAGCCTCAATGTGGTGCCCTCTCGATCGCCTCTTCCCACCATCTTTCTTCTGCTTCCCATCATTTATAGCATAACGTGTCGCCGCAGAGTGTCGAGAGGCAGGGACGTACAAAGGACTTGCGCTATTTTATTTTCCATTTTTCTGTTCTCTCCTTTGCTCTGTTCGCTATTTGCTGCTTTTGCTCCAGCTTCTGCTTCGGCATTGGAATAGGCTCGACTCCAGGTACTGTCCCTGTGTGTGTGTGTGTGTGTGTGTGTAAGTGTGGTTGTGCATATTAAGCTTGTGTTAATTTAATCACAGTAAAAATAAATTAATTGTGTGCCCAGCTCAGAAAAAACAAAAACAATGAGAACAGGCGTGGCAAATAAAATTTCCGCAATTTTAGGAGCAACGCACATTGGCCCGTTTTCCTTAAAAACGGGGCAAAAATGAATACTTTATAACTAGGCTAGGTCTGAAACTTATTCTAAGTCTTAGTCTGCAGTTTGTTAGATATATTATTAATTCTCTAAAGTAATTTTTGAAATACAATTACACAAATTAAAGTGTGCGTGGCATTTAAATGGTTGTAATGAACAGTCAAACTCAAATGTTCGAAACAATTTCTTTACACACGATACTCGCAGAGTTTAGGGATTTATTAGATTTCTGGTGGATGTACATATGTACATATATGTATAGGAGAATATTATTTTCTTGAACGGAATCAATCGATATGCCTACAAGTGCATGTCTGTCTGTGCGTACGTCTTGTTTGACGCCTAGTTCTAAGATACTTAAAGAGCTAGACCGAGTCAAGAAAATTCTGTGTGCAGACTCCTGTAATATTAAGTTTGTTTCAAAATTGTGCTACAAAATTGTGGCATGTGGCATGCATTTATTCCCTAAGGAAAAGCCGTAATTACAACTTGAGTTTTATTTTTGAGCAAAAAATAAAACCCAAAGAATAATGATTATTTTTTGAGTTGTACAGTGTAACTCAAAATTAATCATTGTGTTGTGGGTGATTCATTAAAAATACAAATGAATCATTATTGAATAATTTTTTGACAAAAACTTATAATGATTACAGTCCCTGGAAAAGAGCCTTATTATCGAACTTGTCTATGGATAAATCTTTGGATAATCTTTCGAAACAAAAAATATTTTCCCGCCACAAACTGTGTTATTTCCAACCTAAGGCTGCACCATGTGAAAATTTCGTTAAGATAGCTTCAAATCTATTTTTAATTTAATCAGGCAGACCACCATCGATTGATCGACTCGCAGGCATATGTCATCCTGCTCAAGAATATACATACATACATACATAGAATGTACGTTCATATGCATTTGCATTTCATATTTAACGTACACCTATAATACTCAGGTATACTCGGGAAATGTAACCTGTTGGAGTCTTTATGCTTGTAGCCTAATAAACAATTATGCATCATTGAATGTAAAGACCTAATTTTCCTATTTTCGTTCAGTCCCATGATTTCTAAATAGTTTCCATCTCTACCATTTTTCAATAAAAGTTAAATATCAGTGACTGCGTTACCCATTTGTTGAGTTGTTGTTGATCACTCCTTCATATGCCTGCCCCTCATCTAGCCACTATCTGAGGGCTATGCTATCCCTATCCTTTCCGGAGGACACTCATCCTTCGTATCATGCTATCCGCCACCTTCTATGACTGTTTCATGCCATAATGAATAAATGTCGCATTAATTTGCACGCAAGCCTGGCCCGCAAGCACAAGGGGTTACGTGTTCATGCGATGGCGATGGGGTCGCCTGGCACGTTATTTGCGCTGCTTTGCTTTGCACTGTTGGTTTTTCTTGGAGCTTTGGGGGTAAATAACAAAAATCCATGCAACACACGCACACACCCAGCCCTGGCACGGAATGTCTACGTGTATGAATGTCATTTGAAATCGCGTAAGCAAACTGAGCAGCTCCGCCCGCTCTGCTGTGCATATTTGAATTTTCTGGCATTCTGGAGTTTAAGTATTGTGCTTGTACTCGTAATGAGGATGTTGTATATTTTAGTAGGACTATGCCCCTTCCCACGTCAGCCACGCCCAGCTTCGACGGGCCCCTGCCCGGCAATCACCGCCATCCACTTTGGGCTAATTAATAGACAGACGGACAGGTCGGACTGCAGACGGCGGACAGCAGACAGATGATGCAGAGGTGAGCAGGCCGGGCTTCTCCCCTCTCCCTGACAGACTTAATTAACCCATTACATTATGGCCTGTTGATTTTGCAGCATCCTCATCTTTCACCTTTGGCTGGATGGACTTTTTGCATAATTATTTAACGATCTATTTGTACATTCCACTGAGCAATTTCTTTACATCCTTTGAACACTTTGCTCAGCCTTCATTTTAAAGATTTATTATGCACTAGAATCTCCTCTAAAAGTCGACATGCCCCAGGCGCCAGAAAGTGCTATTTGTCCTCTGGTGCGTGCATAGTAAATAGCGTGCTGGCTGGATAAGTCGATTTTCCACCAAATAATTACACTACTCGACAAAATCGAACTTTTTTTTTCCTCAAGGATCCAAACCGACATTTTCTGATAGATATGGGGCTTTCAAATTTTTTAAAGAAT